GGGAAACCAAACAACCTCTGGCTACAACACAGAAGAGCCACCTCGTCAGGCCAGGACTCTGCAGTCTATTCACACCTACAGGCCAGTTATGGGTAAACCTGCAGTCAGCTGAGACTGAAGAAGTTACTTGGGTGATGACGAAACATTTCTCCCACTGAAATCGTCCAGATGAATAGAATCAACTTTTGGTCAGTAACACTGATGTTATCAAATGTTACCAAGGATGGAATTATACCTGCCATGTGCAGCTATAACAAATCTGCACAGAAATGAAACACTATGGTTGACTGATCCACTACAATTTGCATACAGGCCTTGTAGGGGCGCTGATGATGCTGTGATCATGGCTGTTTTCAGTGTTCATTAACCCTCTGAGCTCTAAGTCATCATCCATGATAGTCCCATGTTTAATTTTATCAAAATAGGTTTTTAAAAATAGGTTTTTCCAAAGAGTCTTTTTTGCTTTTCTTCTTAACATAGAGTCTGGGCCATCTTAATGATGACTTAGACCTCACAGAGTAAGTTAATATGACCTGATTCCAGTATTGAGACTTGAAGGCCAAGGAAAGTCACACGTGGTTGTCATGTCAAACACTGTTGAAATTCCTCGTGGGTAAAGAACTGTCAGGGTCCGTCTGTCTTCCCTTCTCCAAGGCTGTGTCCACATTCAGGGGCTGCATCCATCGAAGGACCCAGTCTACCCAGTCTACCCAGTCTATGTAGGTCGGGTCCTTCAAAGTCCAGGAAGACCGGAAGTGCAAGGCTTGTTAAACTGGATGGGCTAGCCTACATTGCACATTCCCCATTGCCTAGCAACCATGATGGCAGCAGCTACAGCTGTGGTGCATGTTCAACAGAAATACAGAAAATCTTAATTTTATGTCATTTCTTTGACTTTCTCTGGGAAAATTGTTTTGTTTCATTTGCATGTGACGTATCTAAGAGAACATCCAGAGAATATCTGAGAGAACACTGAGTGCCTTTAACAAAAAATGAGCCTACCTTTAGCTAGTAAGCTAGTAGTTCATGAGACTAGTTTCATTTCATTGTGACAGTACAAATATAATACATTTTACATTATATATAGTTTACTATTTAAACCTTTTTTGAAAAGTTTTTTTGGGGGAAAAAAGCTCAGCGATGGAAATTAACTCTGTCTCAAATATTACATTTCAGTTCAGATTCAAGGTATTTACTTTTATTTCATATAATTTCTAACTTGTGACTGTCTGACATACAGATATTAACCCTTTAAAGCCGGTCGGAGCGGGCACGCTCCGTTTT